AATATCATGATATAAGAACAAAGAATATGATGAATGTAGAGAAGCGCTGGAAAACTAGAATGAGCTGGTGTAAAATGAATTAACATAAGGAAATAATATATCCAATGATTGTAACAATAGAAACAGAAATAATAATATTTATAAGTTATATAATAAATATTGACAGAATATTTATAAGTATAAATAACAAATTATAAATACAAATAAATATAAAATAAAAGAACAGCAACAATCAAAATGGAAAGCTGCATAATTCTAGTAAACAACTTGGCTCCACACAACATATATGAAAAGGCACTTCTCCCAAGACTTTGTGGAAAGGGACTATGGGTATAGAACACCGAATATAATAAATACCAGCCTTTTTTTTTTTTTTAATGTTCATTGACTCTTTGGCTGGGAGAGGATGAGGAATGCAATGGGAAATGTTGGTGATATAAAACAAAAGACCACTAAGATCTTCAATGGTTCCCTATTGCCTCAATATTGATTACAAAGTCCCAATTTTTCAAACCTTCTAAGAACCTATTTCCCTATCCAGTCATTTCATAATACACCCCTTCACTCACTATCTGATCCAGTCAAACTGGTCTGTTAATTATCGCTCATGCATGACATTCAATAACTCTCTGCCTTAGCATCAGTGATCCTCTCTCCCCAAATCCCCTTTGTAGAATCTTTGGCTTCCTTCATGCTTTCCTGACTAGCTCCATTTTCTTCCCTTCCACCCCAGTTATTAACACTCTCTCCCTTAGAGGCAGCTGATGGATGCAAAGGATAGAGCCCTGGGTCTGGAGTCAGAAAAACCTGAGTCCAAATCTGGCCTCACACACTTACAAGCTGTGTGACTTTAGGCAAGTAATTTAACCTCTCTAGGCTTCAGTTTCCTTAACTGTAAAATGGGGATAGTTAGAGCACCTGCTTCCCAGGGTTATTGTGAGAACCAAATGAGACAGGTGTAAAGTGCTTAGCATAGTGTCTGGCACATAATAGGTGCCATATAAATACTTATTTCCTTCTTTCCCTCTTTAAATTACTACATATTATTTGTATTTAAACTTTATTTATGCCTCTATTGTATCTTGCTAGTAAAAGTAAGCCCTTCAAAGTCAAGAACTATTTTGCTTTTTGTCTTGGCATATTTAGCCCCCAAATTCTGGGTAACCCTGGGCAAGTTTCTTAATCTTTCAGTGGCTCTGGTAATTAAGTTGCTGAGAAAATCCACCCCACACTAATGAAATCACTGATCCAGTGATGGGAAAAAAATCTAATGTTGTCCACAGGTCCTTCTAATAAATATCCTTATTATGTAATAAGTATAGGAGAACGTACTTAAATAATTAGATATTTGTTGAACAGATGAATGCAGGACTGGTGGTGAAAGGATGGCACTCACCACCTGACAGAGCTGGTAACCTCAAGATGCAGAATGAGACGTGAATGTTTTGGACACAATCAATGGAATTTGTTTGGCTTGACTATCCATTACCTTTCCAAGACTTTTGTTTTTGTCTTTTTTTTTTTTTTTTAGTGAGGACAGGGGAGGGGAGGCAGGCAGTAAGGAGACACAGTGAATGCTTGTTAATTGATAAAGAACTTTTTAAGTTCACAAAAATTGTTTCTTGAACCAAATGAAGAGGCAGAGGGAAGATACCAGGGATTAGGCCTGAAGTCAGGAAGACCTGAGTTCAAATCCAGCCTCAGACACTTATGATATTTAAGCCCTATCTCCCTCAGTTTCCCCTACTGCAAAATGCCAGGATTGTTGTGATGATCCAATGAGATATTTGTTAAGTGTCTGTCATATATTAGGTACTTAATGCTCATTTCCTTCCTTTCCTCTTTGTGTGAAGATGAATGATAATAATAACTAACATTTTTTATAGCACCTACTATGTGTCAAGCACTGTTTGAAGGGCTTTAAAATTATGTCCTTTGATTAGCAAGAACCACAACTCTAGCCCTATCTCACTAAACCTCAGGGAGGAAAGCCTTAGATACATAGCATTTGCCAGGGTTAATACTTAGATCACATTTTAAAGGCTTGGGAAGCCCTTTCTCATTTCTTTCTTAAGATAACTTTGGGGAGTAAGTACTAAGTGTATTATTTCCTTTCTCCTGGTTCAGCACTCTTTCTTTCTTTATTAATTTATTTTGAATTATCAATCACTTCCATAAGCTTTTGAATTTTAAATTTTCTCCCCCTCCCCCCAAGAGGGTGTGCAATCTGATATAGGCTATACATATACATTCCTATTAAACATATTTTCACATTAGTGATGTTGTAAGGAAGAATTAGAACCGATAGGAGGAACCACCAGAAAGAAGAAACAAAACACAACTGAAGAAGAAAAAAAGTAGCAAATAGTATGCTTCGATCTGCCTTCCAACTCCATAGTTCCTTCTTTGGATGTGGATAGCACTTTCCATCACGAGGCCTTTGGAGATGTCTTAGCTCCTTGTATTCAGCACTCCTTCTACCACCCCCAGCTGAACAGTCATGGAGAAATGGTGCTACTGAAAGAAGAGATGCCTCCTGCCAAGGGAGGAGGCTGTTCACTTGACTCGGCCTCTGCAGTGATGAGCATGAGACCAGCTCAATGCTCTGTAACCCCGAGACGCATGGATGAGGCGGGAGACAGCAAGGTGGCAGAATCTCCGTTTATTGAGTGCAGTTAGCTGACTTTCATGGCCCTAGTGATGCATGTTCAAAGCGTGAACCCCCTGTGATAGCCAATCATCAGGTCTGCTGGAGCTCGTGTCAGGACTCATCTCCCAGTGAGAGGAGAGCCAAACCAACCGTGGGAGCTGCATGTCAGCAAAAGAGAGGTCCTGGGAGACTTCCTTATTTTTGCCACGCAACTATGTTGTGACCCTCAGCTTCTACTGATAGAAGCTAGAACTCCCATGGGAAAGTTCCCTCAACAGAGCTCTCATGAGACCGTGAGACATTCACCCTAACATTCACTTATTCTCAATTCACTCTTCATGACCACATTTGGAGGTTTTCTTAGCAAACACACTGGAATGGTTTGCCGTTTCCTTCTCCAGCTCATTTTACAGATGAGGAAACTGAGGCAAACAGGGTGAAGTGTCTTACCCAGGTTCACCCAGTAAACATCTTGGGGCCGATTTGAGCTGAGGAACATGGGTCTTCCTGACTCCAGGCCCAACATCGTAGCTCTTTGTGTCCAACAGAGAACGAAGAATCCTCTAATCTTAGCACAAGCAAAGCTGGCATCAGAGACCCTTTGAGCATCCTGATTAACCTCAGCCAAATGAGAAAACATAATTTATCTTCTGACAGCATAATATATGCCCCTAATGCGGTACAAGAGCAAGCCACCCAGGCTAAACTAGCACGTGTGACTTATTCACAAACTACTATCTTCTGATGGCAAAGCTGATACTTAATAACACACTCCACTATATTAATTAGTGGGGATTGCAAAAGAGCTGCCTGCCTCATGCAAGCCAATTAGGAGTTTTCAAAGGGCTAGGTTTGCATTTGCATTTTCTGACCTATTATCTGTCAGATCCCACCATTTTAAAATTGGTCACATGATTCTTCTCAGTGTACTGACTAATTAGGAGGCCATCTCCGTGCATGCTGGTATGGACTAATGTCAGCTCTCTGGCCTGACTCTTTAACCTGGAAATGTTCAATTAAAAAGGAAGGTACAGGAAATGGTACCTTGTACAACAATTATATAGATTAATTCAAGCTTCCAGAAGAAGAAAAAAAAATGATATGATTATTATTCTCTGCTAGCTTAAGAAAGGGCAGCTAGGTAGCACACTGGATAGAGTGTTGGACCTAAACGAGGAGCACTCATCTTCATAAGTTCAAACACAGCTTCAGACACTTACTAGCTGTGTGACCGGGCAAGTCACTTGTAAAAATCTGTAAAAATAAGCTGGAAAAAGAAATGGCAAACAACTCCATTATCTTTGCCAAGAAAGCCCCAAATGGGGTCATGGATAGTGAGACGAAAATGAAAACAAAGGGACAGGAAACTTAAGAAAGGATCTTGCAGGATAATGGACCCTGGATCTAGCTCTCAGATTTTGTTTTTTTGGCTGAGGCAATCGGGGTTAAGTGACTTGCCCAGAGTCACAGAGCTAGTGTCTGAGGCTGGATTTGAACTCAAGTCCTCCAGACTCCAAGGTCGGAGCTCTATCCACTATACCACCTTGCTGCTCCTTAGGTCTCAGATTCTTGATCCGACTCCAGGCAGGATACCTGATCTGACACTTATTTTTGCTAATTGGAGAGGGGCATGATGGCTGGAGGGGTTCATATGAACAAGAAGCAGCTGGAAGAGTTAAGGATAAGAAGAAAATGTTAGAATTAAAGAAACCTATTACTGAGACTTCAAAAATGCATGCCCTTTGGATTTGAATATCTTTTATTGTTTCTTTCCAAACACATGTAAAAGCACACCATGTACACAGATCACATGAATAATCCAACTGGAAAAAGGCATACAAAGTGCAAAGGGGACCAATGAGGCACTTAGCTTCCGTATTTACAGTGTGATACGGACACATTTAAAAGATATTTTCAAAGGTGAGCAACATAAAAGCAGAATCATACAGGTTATTTACTATATGTTATGAAAAAGCTGTATGATTCAGTCACTATATAAAACACATACATAGTGGAAGGTCAGGGTAAGGTTCCATATGACCCCAAATGGAGTAGCATGGGATTTGGGAAATGGGCTAGTTCTTCCTCATCTTACATTCTCTTTTCCCACATACTCCTTGGAGCTGGGAAATTGTTGGGAGAACCTAGTTAGATGGGATGAGGTGGGAGTATGGGAGAGGGTGTGTTAGAGGTAAAGTGGTGTATGTGGCTGGTAAAACACATGTGAAGGTTGTTCTCTTAGAAGGAGGTCCCATGAAAGGCAAAGTGAGGACATGTGAGCAGCCAGAATGCACGGGCTCCCTCCCCTTCCCTGGTCTGGGCCGTCCTCCTGTGCCCGGGCCTCAGGCTTAGGACTTGTTAATTATTACTCCAAGACCTTCATGGGGATTTTCTTTAACTTTTCCTGATCTTCATCCTGTTCCCAACACCTACTGCAGTGGCATCTGCGCAGCTGGCAGCAACTGCCTGTGAGCAGAGACACCAATCCATCCCAGGGCTGAAGAGAGTGCATCCACAGGGGCAAGAAGTCCCAGGTTTGCAGTTTCTTAGGGAGAACCTGAGGACAGCGCGCTTGGAGCACCCGCATCACCAGCACCACAAGCAATACCAATAGGATGGGTGCCCCTACACCCACCAACACGGGCCACCCCGCCAGCGAGAGGCCAAACACAGCCAGTGGTGTCAGGAGAAAGCAGAAGATCAGGTAGAAGATGGCGAACCAACGGTAGTTGGCTGTGATATTTCCTAGGCCCCTGGCAAGACGGATTGGCAGGCGTGTGAACGGGATTGGGTACCACAGAAGCACCCCGGATATGTTAAAGAAGAAATGGCACAGGGCAATCTGAAATTAAAAGAATTAAACAAGATGAAAACTCTTCTAGCACACACATAGAATCAGGGAGTGGTAAGGGAAATCAGGAGACAAGTGGTGAGGAGAAAGGAAGGAAAGCTCAATGGTGTCACAGAAACTATCACAAATATTTTCATCATAGATTCTTAAATTTAAGGGCCAGGAACACCAGAAGCATGTAGTCCAGTCTATTCAGTTTTGCAAGAATATAGTACAGCAGGAGATGGCTGGATGTTATGTTAAGTGTGACCTAGAGAGCAGTAGACCTGAAGTCAGGCAGACTTGGGTTAGAAGCTTGCTTTTGCCTTACTTTGCTCATCTGAGAACACAGCAATAGAGCTCTTCATTCACTGTATTATTGTGAAGATCCAAGGAGATCATTATGTAAAGAGCTTCAGAAACTTTAACGCACTCTACAAATAAGAGTACTCATTATGATGTCGTGAAAAGAACAATGTATATGGGAGTCTGAAGACCTAGCTACAATTTAAGTCAACAAGCATTTATTAAGTGCCTCCTATCTGCAAAGCACTGTGCTAGGTGCTGGGGACACAGAAAGGAAAGGTACCTGCCCCCAATAAGCTTACATTCTGCTCTTCTGAATTTTGGTTCTGCCTCTTACTACCCGCATGGCCTTGACCTTCAGCAAAACACTTTTCTTATCTACAAAAGGATGACTAGATGATCTCAAAGATCTCTTCCAACTCTTAAATCCTGTGAAAATGGGCCTCTTTTCAAATGGGCACACAGGAAGGAACTGAATGCAACGAAGAGCTTGAGTCCTGGCGTACAAAGCTAAGTTGATAATTTAAGCCACTTTTGCTGAGCTCCAAAACAGTGATTTCAAAATCAATTTACTTAACTGAACATTGTTCCAAATGGAATTAAGTACCAGTGAGTTAAAGAGCAATGAAATTAATAAAAAGAAATTATTGCATTCCAGAAGCACTGAGACTTTCATTGTAATTGTTTTCAAAATCAGTTTTGGAATTCATTGTTTTACAAAATTAATTTAATTGTTTTATCATGCTTTGAATCATGCTCTATTTCTCACTCTGCTGCTCATACTCCTTTGTCACCTTTCTCCTACCCAGGTATTGCCTGGCCTGCCTACACACCAGCAGGTTCAATTGGCATCCCTTGCCACAGAGGGGAGAGGAGGAAGAGGAGAAGACAGGTGCCTAGCGAGGCAATATTCACACTGGAGAATGTTCAGGGCACCACCAACCTGTTCTTGTCTAGGCTGCCAATCTCAACCTTGACCCCTCCCTCTCTCTTGCCTTCCAAGGGATGACTCTCTAAGTCTTTCTGCAGCATCTCTTGTATTCATCTCCTCCTTTCCATTCCTGATGACATCACCAGATCTTCATTTTTGTGACCTGGGCTTTCTACTATGGTGGAAAACAATGCTGCTTTTCCTCTGATTAGTACTATTTGTGTAACATTGGGCAAGTCACTTAATCTCAATTTCCTCATCTATAAAATAAGGGGGATTGGACTGGATAATTTCTGAAAGCCCTTCCATCTCTAGATCTATGATCCCAGGCCTATTCCAAAAGCCTCCTCCCGGCTGGTCTCTTGGCTCTAATACATCCCACACACACATACATTTCCCAAATCAAAATTCTGATGACACCTACCCTTAAATCCAATACCTGTTGCCTTCCCAATGTTTGAAGGACAAAAACCAAAATCCTTGGTTCAGCTTTCAAGGCCCTCTAGAACTTGATCCTCATCTGCCTTTTTCAGCATTACCTCCTGCTGCTTAAAGGAGACGGTGTCTACAACAGTCCTGTTATCATCATTCATGTTAGTACTGCCCCTGGGACCATTATCATCCATTCCAGTGAAACTGGTTCTTCAGAGATGCTTGTTCACTGGACACATCCCTGGGACCTTTGTTCACATCCTTCTCCTTCTCATACTTTTCCTTCTGCTCTCTGCCCAAACAGATCCTCAATATACTTCAAGGAAGAGGCTTCTCTTTCCCCCATGAAACCAACCTCTCCCTCCTCTAAACACAAAACATGGATCTATACCAGCCACCTAGCAAGTAACAGAGGTGGGATTCAAACTTAGGTCTTCTGACATCAAAGTCACAAGTTCTTGCTACCATAACACCTTTTCTGACTGATAGAAGGGCAAAAAGGAGGATGTAATCTATACCTTTTTCAATCATATTATGTGGGGGGCAGGGGATAAGGTAGAGGGTGGGAAGTAACTGTTCACCATCCTAATTTGTTTATTATAGACACAAGCTGGAGGTATCTGGTCATTATTTAGGAAGTTCAGCTTCAGAGAACAATAGCTAGGGACAGTTTTCTAACCCACAGGTCACCATTCTGAGGCAAGTAAGATCTCTGGAGTAATAAATGTCCCCTTGTGATATGAAGCATCTGATAAGAAAGAAACCAGCAGGTTTATTTGAAAGATTTAGTAGTAAGCTAAGAAAAAAGAGCTTAATGGAAAGAGGTAATGAATCACAACTCCGCATCCTGACCTGGAGCGAACTTTGTAAAGTATTTCCAGGGCTAGCTAATGCAGCCAGGATGGCAGTGGTGGTGGTACCGATGTTGGAGCCCAAGGTTAAAGGGTAAGCTCTCTCAAGGCTGATCACACCGATGCCTAAGGGGAAAAAAAGAAACATTGGATTCCATCCTGGGTGGGAATGACTGAGCATGGTGGGACCACATGTCAAAATGGAGACATGGGCATGTGAAAAGGGAAGGGGGAGGAAGAGAGGACTTACCAACCAGAGGAGTGATTGCAGAGGTGAACACAGAGCTACTCTGCACAAGAAATGTAATTCCAGCTCCAACTAGAATGGCAAGGTAGCCTGCCAGCCAGGCAAAAGGGAAGGGGAAATCTGGGAAACAGGAGAAGAAAAAGGCACCATTTCTACAAATGTCCTGGTCAGCATTTCATATCTGATGCAATAGATCCCTCTAAAGGCAATCTGGAAACAGTCCTTTTACTACAAACTCATTCCAAAAACTTCTAGCAGACAGAGGTCAAAAGTGAATTAAAAGCATCAGCAAGATGTTCCTGGGGGGGTGGGGAAAGAAGTCTCTGGAGCTTCCTGCCAACATCCTAAAAACAACTTTTATGCTCTTTACAAATATTATCAGATAATATTTGTAAATAGCACCAAGCACAGTGCCTAGCGTGTAGTAGGCACTATAAAAATGCTTATCTCCTTCCTCTGTTGTTTCCACAGCTGGGTCTCAGATCTTACCCAGGTCTGAACCTCAACTTTCTTTTCTTAGTGAGGTGGGGTGGTAGGGTAGATTGGAGTAACTGCTCCCAAGTTTCATCAGTATCCTAATTCATGACAACCCAGGTGGGGAAGAGGCGAGATCAGGGGGTAATTGACTTTGCTGGAAGCTAGGGGCTGTTAATTCTCTGTTTGGGTTGTGAGAGAGAAGGGAAGGAAGGATTTAAACATTTACCAAGCTCCTACTATGGGCCAAGCACTGTGCTACATACTTATCTGATCCCTACAAACAAACCTGGGAGGTAGATGCTATCCTCATTTTAATAGTTAAGGAAACTGAGGTAAACAGAGGTAAAATGATTTGCCTTGGGCCTCACAGATAGTAAGTGTTTGAGTGATTCTAACTCATATTCCTGACTCTAGGCCCAGTATTTTAATCACTGTGGCATCTTGTATGCTCAGCCTCTATACCCTCTTCTTCTCTAATAATAGCTTGTATTATTTTTATAATTTAATAACATTATTTTATAGTGGCCACCATAGCCATGCTTTGCCCACTACTTTTGCTATGATCTTCCTTCCTCTTCCTCCAACATTCCTGCTTCTGTGGTTGTGTGTGAAGCAGCAGGGATATGTAGCAGCTTGGCACTATCTTTCCTAGTCAACTAATGATGACAGTCAAATTTCTAGAGCTCTTTATTATTTACAGTGCCCTTATAGGAACAGTACATGTATAACTTTTTTTTTTAATTAGAAGATCATGGGCTCTTCAAATTTAGAGATGAAAGAGACTTTATATCACCTGTCCATTCCCCTTCGTTTATACAGGGAGAACTGGAGGACCAGAGACCTCATTTACTGGCCCAAAGGCACATAGCAGAGGCAGCAATTGAACCCAGGGCCCCTGACTTCAAATCTAATGTTTTTTTTTCCTATTGTACCACAAAGCCCGTGTGGATTCATTAACTTGTTCAAAATAACATAGTTAATACATATCTGACCAAGAAGGATGGACTTGGGCATCAGAAAGACCTTGGTCAAATTCCACCTTGGGTATTGTAACCCTGGACAGATCATTTGACATCTTTCAAATAGAGATAATAATACCCATGTGGCTGCCTCACAGCGCCAGTGTGAAGATTGAATGTATTGATGTCTGTAAGGGATCTGCAAACTTTAGAGCTCTATAGAGTTTACTAGGGATGGGGAATGGGACCTGTCCTGTGATTTCTTTGGTATAGGGAGGGAATTCCCTCTCCCAATGCAGGCTGGCAGATTCTCAATAATGTATAATCCCAGAGACTCACCCAGAGCTCTGAGGGCTCTCCAAGAATGGTACAATAATGCAAATTCAAAAAGTTTCTTTTTTCTTAAGGACTCTGCCCACAGAAAGGCCCAGGGAGAGTGAAAGGCCTACCTGTATTGATAGTCTTCTTAATCACAGCAGCAACTTGTCCCTTGAGCCCAGAGTTCAGGACCTTGACAATCAAGATCAAACAGGTGCACAGGACCATCAAAGAGAGGGCTAGAAGAATCAGGCCAATACTCAGATCTGAGAGACTGACATCCACAAATGCATGTTTGCCTGGAAGAAGGAGAGGAACCACTTAGCATCTTCCTCTTCATCACTTAAGGTATACAGCGTTCTGTACCGCACCATGCCTGGAATAAAGTGAGCCTAATTAAGCAAAAGTTTATACATTTCAAAAACAAATCTCAAAAGGTATGTAAGTTAAAATCCAAATTAACATTAAGCCCCAGGACCTACTTTAGAGTAAGTGTCCCCAATCTTTTTATAAGAAGCCGCTTTTGATTCCTAAAAAGCCTTGAAACATGACTGTGAGAAGGTGCATTGACTGTTGAGTCCCCTTACACCCAGCACAACAACTGGAAAGAGCACTGGGATTGAAGTTAGCCATTCTGGATTTGAATCTTGATTCTCCTCTCTGCTGTGTTCTCTGTGACAGCGGGCAGCTTCCTTCACCTGTGTGGGTGTCAGGTTCCTGTTCTATAAAATGAGAGGGTTGGTCTAAATGACCTCAAGGAAGCCTCCCCACTCTAACATTCTATGAGCTTTGCACCAGAGATGGCATGTTCCCCTTCCCAAGAATGGATTTGCCTGAGTTTGTATTACTTATTTCAGTTTAATTGTACAGAAAATATAATGAAGTACTTTGTAAAGTGCTATACAAATGTAATAACAACAATAATGGCAGCTAACATTTATGTGGTGCTTGAAAGTCTGTAAAGTGCTTTACATATATATCATTTGATCCTCACTACAACCCTGGGAGGTAGTTGTTATTATTATCCCCATTTTACAGAAAAGGAAACTGAGGCAGGCAGCAGGTGAGTTACTTGTTCAGAGTTACTCAGATTAAGTCTCTGCCTGATTCTGGGTGCAGAGCACCAGGCACTACATCATTACGAGGAGGGCATTATTAGAATTGATGTTTGAGCTTCAATTCCTAAATTACCTCCTGGTAGTAAACTACAGACAGTTAGGTAGGTAGAGGTAGTTAGTCTCTGGAGCCACTATACAATATTGGGTCCAGAGCTGTATCCTCTATACCAGGGGTGGGAAACCTGTGGTCTTCTAGATTCTTGGGTGAATCCTTTTGACTGAGTCCAAGTTTTATAGAACAAAGTGACTTGCCCAGGGTCACACAGCTAGTAAGTGTGGAACAAATTATTTTATGTGAAATTTGCATTCAGTCAACAGGCCACCTTGTTCCCCATCCCTGTTCTACACCATTATGAGGAGAACACTATTAGAATGGACACATATTGAGAATAGGGTTAAAAATTCCTCTTTCACTCAGCAGACTTCCCAGAAGATTTCCTACTCACACTTGGCAATGTTCTCTGCATATGTTGCGTTCAGGAGGGTCCAGGTCATGTTTCCATCAGTCCAGCAGAGACTGGAAGAGGTACAATTTGCTGGTGAGGGAACGGTAACATTGCTTAAAGTCTAGATGACAAAATACAGAAAAAAATTTGTTACTAAGAATGATTATTATGTGAAGAAACAATTTACAGCACTGAAGACATGAACCCCACTGGTCACTGAATCCCCACTTTCCCCCTCTTCTCTACCTCACCTTCCTCTTAATCCCCAGAGAAGACCTTTAGTCTTTGTGTTTCGTCTATGGAGCATTGGCTGAAGCTACAGAACATCTGGATTACTTTTGAAGGCCAGCTGAGCTGCACTCAGACTGAGCACTGTTACTCCAGAATGGGGACCTGGGCAGTCAATTGCTTTATTCCTATCTTGGAGTAGTCTTATTATAGTCATATTATGCCCCACAGTCTGAGGTGTAACTAAGGCAGGGTGACTAGAGTATTGGTCTATGGCACTAAATTTAGAGAAGACCAACAGCACTTGCAGTCCCTCAGCATCACAGAAGGAACAGAGAATTCTCAAACCCCCATCTATGTCCTTTTTTTATACCATTTTCTGATACTTACCACATTTTTAAAAGTTTCACACCAAATCTTTATCAGGCTTTTGTTTTTTGCTGCCTCATTTCCTGTAGCAATTTCATTTATGACTTTTTTATCCAGCTGGGGAAAGCAACAGACATGAGGAAAAGGGTTAGCCTGTTCTTCAGCTATGAGTTGTGAGTGAAAAGTTAATTAGTTACTCTCCTAGGGGCTCCAGTGTACAGAAGTGAAAATCAGGATGTGTGTAAAAGAGAGACACAGATGGCTCTCATTTCCAGAGGACTACACTTGTATATGTGACCTTGTCTCATCTTAGTTTGACTAGAATCAGCCCAGATGAACCCTTTTTGCCCCATTTCAGGGGGCCCAGTAGACCACCAACTCCTTGAAGACAATGAGGGTTTCTTTGTCACTGTATATCCCAGTGCCTGGTCCATGGTAGGGGATTAATGAATTTTGATTGGTTATGAGGCATCCCTTGGGAAAGGGCTCCTCTTTGGTAGATGAATAGCAAAGCATATGCAGAATTAAAAAGAGTCATCTGGCACAAAATGGTAGAATGGTTGAGTCTCGTTTGAGCCAGTGTGGTGGTGAAGAGTGAATCTCTACCAACATGGTGCTCTAAGCAACCCAGTGCTTGCTCCTTAGCTCCACTCACCCAGGCAACAAAAGAGTGAGTCACAGTAAGTAGGAGAAACATCCAACTAGCATTACAGATGGAGCGGGGAGATTTTTAACTCCCTTTCCAAGGGAACCAGGCTCATCACCGGTACTATTTCATTTTAAATTTAAAAACCAGAGTGAGTTCTGATGCCCACCTGGATGATGAGTTTTGTTAAAGGGTCTGTGATGACTTTCAGGAGCTCAGGGGCATCATCTCCACTCTTGATATTAAAGGATTTCACTATGACATTGGTGAGGTGGTAGAGGTAGTTTGTGATCGCCTCCAGAGGCAGCAGCACCAGCACTGATAACCAGTTAAAAAAATCATGAACAGTAGCTCCTGCAAAAGCCCTAGGAGAAAAGCCAAAGCATTTAATGTTATGATACTGTCTAGTCACTTTCATTAAGTGTTTACTATGCGTAGAATGAGAAAACATGGTATAAATGTTATGAAAAAGACTAGTTTGAAAGTTAGGAAGACCTGGTTTCAGGTCTCCTTCTAGTTATAGGACCATGAGCAAGTCACTCAATACTTTCAGTGACCTAATCCCCTGATGGAGTTGCCAATCAGTATCAACAAAATGGTAGGTTTCCACATTGGAAGTTTCCCCTACCATATTGCAAAATAAAGAAAAAAAAGACAGTGAAAAACATATACTTTGATTTGCACTCAGAGTTCAGCAGTTCTTCTCTGGAGGTGGATAGCGTTTTTCATCATTGAGTCCTTTGGAATTGTCTTGATTCGCTGTATTGATCACAGTAGCCAAGTTTTTCCACAGCTGATCTATGACATTGCTATTACTATGCATAATGGTCTAAGTCTTGCCATTTTTTCCCCTTAAACTATCCCCTACCTTGTTCTTTCTTATAAAAAGATAGTGTTCTATTACAATTACATGCCACAGCCTCTTCCCAATTGATGGGCACCCTCTCAATTTCCAATTCTTTGACACCACAAAAAGATTTTGCTGCAAATACTTCCGTATACATAGGTCATTTTCCCCTTTTTAAAAAACCTCTTTGGGATAGTAGTAGTGCTGTTACTGGGGTCAAAGGTCTGCAATTTTATAGCCCTTTGAGCATAGTTCAAAATTGTTCCCCAGAATGGTAGGACCAGTTCACAATTCCACCAACAGTTCATCAGCGTATCAATTTTCTCTCTTCCCTTGTTGTTTGAATTTGTCTTTCTTTAATCAATAGTGGTTTAGAGCTTTTTCATATGACTATAGATAACTGATTTCTTCTTCTAAAAACTGCTTATTTATATCCTTTAACAATTTATCAACTGGAGAATGACTCCTTTTTTAAAAAAATGACTCAATTTCCTATATATTTGAAAAAAGAGGCCTTTATCAGAGAAACTTATTTAAAAATTGATATTATGTCAAAATGTAGCTTCCCCTGCTTATCCCTTTTAATTAGGTCTATTTTTGATTTGTCTGAGATCACAATTGCTACTCTTGCCTTGTTACTCCAGCAGAAGCATATTAGATTCTGCTCCAGCCTTTTATTTTAACTCAGTGTGTGTCTCTGTTTCAAATGTGTCTCTAATAACATTGGATTCCGGTTTCTAATCCATTGTGCTATTCACTTCCATTTCATAGTCACATTCACAATTAAGATTACTAACTGTGTATTTCTCTCCATCCTATTTTTTCCTCTTTCCTTCTCTCTCTTTCATCCTTCCCCTCCTCAAAAATCTCCTTTGTTTTTGACCCAGTTTATCACTTCTTACTAGCTTTTATGTTCTAGTTTGCTCTGATCCCCCTTATAGGAGTCAGCAGAACCTGAAAACCAGTTCAGAAAATAAAATGCTGATGATATTCCCCCTTCACTATTCGCTAGGGAGACAAAGATTCCCTTTGTCTGTTATTCAGCACCACCACCCCTACCCAATTCCCAAACCATATTTCCAGAATATGCATTTTGCCTTTTGTGAGTCTAGAAGAGACAAAATGTAAAGAGGAATATTGTTCAGTCACGCCCAACTCTTCATGATCATAGCATACCAATATTATCCATGGAGTTTTCTTGGCAAAGATAGTGGAGTGGTTTGTCATTTCCTTCTCCAGTGGATTAAGGCAAACAGAGGTTAAGTGACTTGCCCAGGATCACACAGCTAGTAAGTATCTGAAGCCAGATTTGAACTAAGATCTTCCTAATCTCAGTAAAGGGGAATACATTGTACCACAAATGAAATCACTATCAGTTTACAGTTATTCATGACTCAGCTGAGTGACTTGAACCGCTCTGGATATGTACTTATTGTACACTTTTAACAAGACCCACTGGAAGAGATAGAGAAGTATCTGGAGCCAAGTAAAGATTCTCAACTTTGTACAAAACTTCCTACCTTCGAAATTCATTCCTGTCTCCAGCCTGCAAGAGGGCCACCATTGTATTGGTGACTGAAGTCCCAATATTGGCTCCCATGATAATGGGAATTGCTGCCTTTACTGTCAACACTGTCAAAGGAAAAAAAGTAAATGAGGAAGAAATATTATGGAAATTCACATGAAAAACACTTAAACAAGTTAAGGAATTAGCTTTTAAAAAAAAGTTGGGAAGACTATTGAATCCAACCATGACCACAAATAGGAATTCTTTCTAAAAGGTCCCCAAGCAGTCACTCATCCAACCTTTGCTGGAAGATCTCCTATTTAGTGAGGAATGCCTCAATAAAGCTGAGACCAAGTGCCTAGACCTGTAACTGGGGTGGGGCAACTGTTTTTCTCACAGCAAGAAAATGTTGTGGGTTGTGATCACTATTCCAATGGTGGGTTTGGCATTGTGGCTGTTTCTGAAGATTGGAAGGATGGAAAAGTAGGGAGATGCAAACTCCAAAGCACACTGTGAATAATTCCATGATTCTAAAATTTGTAAGGAAATTCTTTCAACAGATCCAGGCTGGCCTAAACAACACAACTCTATGAGCATGCATGTGTATGTGTGTGTGTGTGTGTCCTGTCTGTCTGTCTATGTGGGCTGACTCACATGAAGAGGACACCAGGCTGACGATGACAGATGTGGATGTACTGGAACTCTGTACCAGGACTGTCACCAGTACACCAATCATCAAGCCGCCCAAAGGATTGCTCAACAGTGAACCATCACTGAAAATCTCTCCGGCCATTTTTCCTGTAAATGTAATGAAAATTTTAAAATAACAAAAATCTGGTCAGTGTTTGGGACTGCTGGGTTACAAATCAAAGGCTAGGGGCCACTCTGTGGGAGTGAGGAGGAGTCACTGGCTGCCAAGGCAGGCAGTGTGGCAGAGGGCTAAATTTCCTTAGCACAGTGCTTGAAACATACTAAATGATATATAAATGCTTATTCCTTTTCCCCATTTGGCTTATTTAAGGTATATCCATTTGTAGGATGCTTATAAGACCTGAAACTTCCTAAGGTTAGAGATGGGTCTTCCATTTCCTTTGCATGCCCCCATCCCTGCCCCAGAGCTTAGTGATAATATGGCTACTCATTATTAGTCTGCAGAGTAGAAACATGAAGACTAGGCTTTACACAAAGGAAATGGAGTAGAGAATGAAGTCAATTGTCCAAATGGTTGTAGTGAAAAACAAATGAGCATCAACCCATTAAAGTTCACAGTATAGAAAACATGCTAGGCCAGGCTGGAGATTAAACAAACAAACACACACACACACACACACACACACACACACACACACACACCCCAGGGTCTCTGCCTTCAAGCACAAATTGTTTTGAGATAGAACTGGAAGAATCTGGAGAATAGAGAAGAGTGGAATGAGGAAAGCCCAAGGCAGGCCTATTTGGACAAATGACCCCAATTCTCTTCACTTTCTTGGTGTAAGTGATCTGTTTTACTTTTCCCACAGACAACCACTTGTGCTGTCAACCCAGCACATAACATACACATATGCATGTTACACAGATTCTAATCTCTGAAACTAGAGGTTATGTTTCAGATATCAGAGGGATACAGAGGGTCACCCTCACCACAAAACTTAAATCTGATGACCTAACTTCCAGATCATCAAGTCTTTTCACAAAGATTTTGGAAACCTAATCCCTAAACTGTCACTTGAAAAGACTAGAATCTAAGTAACGTGGGTTGAGAACAGAGAGGAGAAGAGGGAAAGTATGCATCCATGCCAGCATCTCTGGAGTAGATAAAAAGGTGAGCCATCTGAGTCAGAATAGTGAACAAACCTTTGACCCTTTCTGATGTTGTTTTTCATACCTCCAACTAGCTGGAAAGCACTGCTGAGGATGTCCAAGGAGCAGACAAAGAAGTAGAGAAATCCCAGGAGGAGAATCACTTTTCCAAATCCTCGGAAGACAGCAATTATTTTCCCTTTGGTGTCTCTCTCTGCAAAAACAAAGGGGAAGTGAACAAGCTTTTATTAATCACCTACTGTGTGCCAGCCCCTGTGCTAAGCACTCTTCCAAATACTGTCTTATTTATTGCATGCTTGTGTATAGCATGCTCATGTGCACATGAACATACATAGCGGATCCAGCATCTTGTGCAAGAATCTCCCATCTCTTTTCTAATCAGAAGGCAGGCTAGGGTTGTCAGCTTTGGTGATGCATTAGAAAGATTTTAATAAACATGCCATTTACTGTAAGTGATCCCCAATTTTGTCCTTTAAAAAAAAAAGCCACATTTGTAGAAGTTTTTTGGCACCAAAGACACTGTGGTCTGGAGGGGAGGCAGAGGGAGCCATAAGCAAATCAAAGGCTGCATTCTTAGCTGAACCATTGGCTTACTAAGTGGTGCAGAAGATAGTAGGAGCCAGCTCCAGGCAGAGGGGTCCTGAGATAATGACCAGCCAAAGCATTTACTGCTGTTCAGAAGGACCTTAGGGATTACTTTTGAATATTGGGCTTCACAATAAAAATAATAGTTTTGCTTTTGTAAAGAATCTTTTGGCTCCCAAATATTACTAATATTGTGGCCAGCCCTAAGAGGATTAGCCCTTAGGTGCTCTTAAGCTTATCCCATCCCCCTCCCCAGAGCCCAGCACTGGTTCCTATCTTATTTTCCTGAGTTCAAATCAGGTCTTAGATGGTTACTAGTTGTATGACAGTAGTTAAGTCATTTAACCACTATTTGCCTCAGTTTCTTATCTGTCAAATAGGGATACACTATAAAACAAAATGGCAAAACATTCCAGTATCTCTGCCAAGAAAACCCCATAGCAGGCAGGACTGAACAACAAAAATGGAGATAACATTACCTGACCACTTGATTCCTGAGTCCCTAAAGTTAGACAGGTCCCATGGGTCTTGCTCTACCACGGGTTTTTCAATCGGTATTTCTTCAAACACTTCAGCAGAGTAAGATGGCAGAAGTTCTATCTTGCTTACAAGGGAATGTTCATTATCTTCCAAAGAAAGCAAAAAACAAAACAAAACATCAGGGATAGGGCCCATTTCTCCTGGGAAGAGTGGAAGATGGCAGGGTCCTGTTACTTCAACATGAATGGGATAACAGTACTTACTGCTAGGAGGACCTTTATCTTTTCCAGATGTAGTAGATTGCTGGGTGCTGGCCTCTTTAATGGAGAAGTTTTCCAATTCAGGCCCAGATGCCATGGTCTGTGAATAACTAAATTTAAAACTTAAAATGTGCATCAGCTGGATTTTACATCAACAGGGAACCTAGAAATATTAAGTACACAAGAACAGCACCAACAAAACAAAATCCATAGTTCTAGAGCTCATTTAAAACAAAAACACACACACCTTTCTTTCTTTTAAGTGTAATATCATGCGGTCATTTTTTAAACTTCACTTTCCAAACCACACAGTAAAGGCATCTCCTCTAATGGTTCTCCATTCCTTTTCAAGATTAACCTCTACTTCAAATTTACCAATCACTCTCATCTCCTTTAATTCCTAGGTTCACTCTCCCCTACATTGGAATGCTTCCAGCCCTCTTCTTCCATACTATTTCTGAGACTTCTCTACTGCCCTCAAACTAAATAATGTTCATCTACAAAAATTACACTCTCCAGCCTCTTTTAAGACTTCCTGATAATCTACTTTGCCAGAGATGAAGAATCCTTCGACTGACACATCATGCCATACAAGCACAGGTTGGAAAATACATGCTGACTATTTCTTATCAGTAAGTGGTAGATGGTCATTGGAAAAATTTCACTTTCCTTTCAGCTTGGTTATCTGTTTAGTGAGAAACAACATTTAACCTACTTCACCCTTCTTCACTGTGAAAATAAGATCAGAGTAAGTTTAGCTTTACAAGGGATTTCATCTTCATGGGTTTTCCAATCATGAAGATGGTCAGTGATTTAACTGGAGCAATTGATAAAAAGAGTTGAATTCAAGGTCATGCTCCTCTTCTAGGATTCCAAGATGCTTTTCAAATGTTCAGAAGGAAAAGCCCACTGGAGTTTATTTCAGCAACATTTTAGCATTTACTTGAAGTAGTTCCAGAGAAACCCCAATCCACCGAGGCAGGAATCCCAAGCATTGCTAAGTAAGTTGAGTTTTAGGCAAGCTTCAGTACCAATGGGGCCTGGCCATTTCATACTCATGAGGCCAGAAGCCAGAAGAGCAGGATAACCTACCTAGCAAACATTTGCTTCAGTTGTTTGTGAGCCACTCCCTTCCACTTTTTCTGGCCCTCTACACCCCCAGAGCCAAAGAAGCTCCTGTGGATGAGAGAGCTGAGTGATAAAGTAGGGCACCTGGCAGCTTCAGAACAAAAGGTAAATGAAGGATGTTGGCACCTAACCAATCAACACCCTTTTCCAGGTAGACATACAGAGACCCATTTACCCAATCCAACAGGCTTTTGTAGAATCCAACCACTTTGGAAGCTCCAGTTACTACATTTATCCTCCATTTGTCCCAGGTAAAACCAGAATAGATAAAGACAGATAAAACTAAAATAAACTCCCAGTTATCTAGGGGCTGCTGAGCTAGTCTAAGGGTAGCCCAGGCTGCTTAGGGTTGCCATCAAACAGCAAGAGGATGAGTGTAAGGGATACAGGGATGAGGGACTCTCTTAAGGTCTGCAAGAGTGCTTTAAGGGCAGAATTGTCTTTCCTTCAGGAAGAGCTAAGAGTTCAAAGATGGAGCCAAGGTGTGGCTGGGAAGAGAGGGGGGAACTGTTTTGGTGTTAGTGACACACGTCACTATGGCCAATTCACTTAGATTGCTTGAAATCCTAGGAAAAAGGTAACAGCATGTGCTGTCCCATTTCCAACCATTTGTTTAATTAAGGCAAACTAGGAACTTTGCTTGTAAACTCCTCAGAGATTGCATTGTTGTTGTTCAGTCAGCCACGTCCAACACTCTGTGACCCCGCGAACCACACATAGCACTGCCAATATTGTCCATGGGCTTTTCTTGGGAAAGATGCTAGTGTTTTGCCATTTCTTTCTCCAACAGATTAAGGCAGATAGAGGTTAAGTGACTTGCCTAGAGTCACTCAGCTGGCAAGTGTCTGAGGCTGAATTTGAACTCAGGTCTTCCTGATTCCAGGCCCAATGCTTTATCCATTGAGCTACCTAACTGCCTCCTATTTAGTAGGTGGGTCTTTGATAAATGATGGCTGATTAATCTCAGACGCATCAAATTGTCTAAACTGGGGGATGGGATGCTAAATGATCTGGACTAGGTTCTTTGGCATAGTCCAAAAGTGTCAGAAGGGTAGGGTAACACTGCTCAGTATTTTCAATTACATGAGATCTACCCTTTAATAAATCCCGATTCTCCTGAAGTGTGCCCCTCCCCCAGGATTTCTCATACTCTTGTCTCCCTTACCTTCCTCAAGGCACAGACCTGCCTTCATTTCTTAAATGGCCAAGTCAGTCCCAAGTCAGGTAGGGAGTAACCCCCACTTTTCCTTAGCCCATTCCCTCTATAACTTCCAATTTCTCCCACTAGGCAGTGAATAGAGGACAAGAAGGAAAGGAAAGAGGAAGCAGTTGTGGTACAATGGAAGGAACACAACTTCTAGAGACAGGAGACCCTAATTCAAATCCTACCACTGAGGCTGATCATCTGTCTCATCTTGGGAGAATCACTTAACATCCCTGGGTCTCAGGTTTGACAGCTGTAAATTGAGGGGGTTAGACTTGACCTCTGAGGTCCTTTCCACTTCTAACCCAGAACTGGTTTGCAGTTCCAAGGAAAAGGTCTGCCAGGAAAGGAGAACTATTTTTGTTGTTTTCCTGCTGAAAATTATTCTGCACAATTGTTAAAAGACCTAGGCTCCAGTTCCAACCCTTACTGGCTAGCCATGTGGCCCTAAGCAAGTCTCTTTACTTCTGAGTCAGTTTTCACATTTGTAAAAGAGGGAGGTGAATCTTTACCCTAGCTAGGTCATGAGTAAAGGTAGACAGACAATAATTGTTAACATTTATAGCATTTTACACATATGATTTGATGAGGATGAAACAGAAAAACCACCAAGACTTCTTTTTTCCCCCTTTTTTCTCATTAATTTATCTTTAGTTTTCAATGTTCACTTCCACAAGATTGAGTTCCAAATTTTCTCCCCATCTTGTCCCTCCCCCTAACCCAAGATGGCATGCATTCTGAATAACCTTTCCCCTAATCTGCCCTCCCTTCTATCTCCCCCCCATCCTCTCTTATCCCCCTCCTCTTCTATTTTCCTCTAGGGCAGGATAGATTTCTATACCCCATTGCCTGTATATCTTATTTCCCAGTTCCATGTGAAAACAATTTTTAACATTTGTTTTTAAAACTTTGAGTTGCAAATTTTCTCCCCTCCCTCCCTATCCACCCTCATTAAGAAGGCAAGTAACTCGATACAGGTAAGACTTTTCACTAAATCACAAGTACAATAGATTTTTTTAGGCCTTCCTAAAATGTAGTTCAAAGGTTTGATGTTTTATTTCTACTTAGCATGGCAGGAGAAAGCTACAAGGCTCCCAGTTTATTCCAAATCCCAGCAATCCACCAGGGGTTCAGAGCTACAGGCCCTCTTCCTTCATTAAATTGAATGAATGGAGTAATATTGGCTTTTTAACAGTAATAACTGACTCAGACTAACACTACCAAGCACAAATTACAATGAGGTATGAGAACAAAGGAAAATTCAATTATTTGAGATCCTCAGATATGACAGAACACACCTTACTTGCCCCAAATACTAATTTTGCACAATATTTTCATCACATTATTTTATAGAGAAGGAAGCTGAGCGAGAGGTGAGAGGTCACTCAACCAGGACTGGGTATCCAGGATTTGATCCCAGATCGCCAGTCCAGCAGTAGTGTTAAGCAAAGAACCCACAGGATTTAAAGATGGGGACCTTAAAGGTCCCCTAATTCAATATTCTCATTTTACAGATGAGAGAACTGAGGCTGTTCCAGGTGGATTCCCAATGTCTCCCAGACGGGAAAGAGCAGTCAGTTCCTCTGCCTCCAAAGCCAGCCCTCTTCCACTTCCTATTCCCTCTTGCCATCCTTGACATCAACACTGCCTTAAACTTTTGGATTACTTTCTCTGTGCCATCATAAATTAGCCTACTGTCCTCACCTCTTGAAACTAGGATACAGTCCCAGAAGATGCTGTACTGTTCTGACATCTAAGTGGATCAACACTCAAAACTGCATCGCCCCCCCCACCCCCACCCCAAGCCTGACTACTTAGTCCACATCATTGTCCTGTAGCCGCTGAAAAGTGACAGCTATCTAACCCTTCACTCTTCAACTCAGAGAAAACCTTCCTTCCAGGGTAACAGGCAGCCATCCACCCTTCCCCACAAGCACTTTCAGGCTCCTTTTCTAGCAGGTAACACTTTGAAATTCTTGTAGTCACTGTGGAGTGGGCACAATCTGTCTAATGGACAGCACAGAGAAGCATCATTTGGGTCTGCACCTCTTAAATCTCAAGACTTAATGATTAGTAAAAAACTGAAATCTAGCTATTAAAAAAGGGGGAGGGGATGCGGCAGCTAGATAGCTGTGGATTGAATGCTGGGCCTGGAGTTAGGAAGACTCATCTTCCTGAGTTCAAATCTAGCTCAGATATCTACTAGCTATGTGATCCTAGGCAAATCACTTAATCTTTCTTAATTCTGTTTGCCTCAGTTTCCTCCTCAGTAAAATGAGCTGGAAAAGGAAATGGGACACCACTGCTGTATTTTTGCCATGAAAACCACAAATAGGGTGACATAAGAGTCAGATACCACTGAAAACGATTCCGGTAAAAAATCTGGAATTTTTTTAAAACTACCTTAGTGATCCCCAGAAATGCTATAGGAATATCTAATACATCCTCTGACCTCAGTACCTTTCCAAGAGATAGAGCTTTATGGAAAAAAAGACTAGAAACACACTTTGGAATGCTTTTAAAATAAACTAAAGGAAAACTTGTGTCCTACTTTCAAAAGTTTCCCGAATTAATCAGTTCTTTCCTTTTTCCTGACTCTAGCTGGTTTTCCAAAGCCCTGGGTATTTAGAGAGAAAGGTGTTGCGCAAAGAAATGAATGCTCCAGCAGTTCGAGCTGCTGGCCGCAAGCTGCCCAGCGCACGCGGACACAGCTTACCAGCCGTCAGCGAAGGGATCCCTGTGCGCGCTTCTCAGGCAGGCCCCAG